AATTTACTCCATGGAAATGACAGCATGTGGCAAACAGCTCTGACCATTGTTGAAGTTTACCGTCACACCCCTGAAGAGGTGGTCCAGTTTGGAAAAGACCATTTTGCTTCGGTTTGCTGTGGGTGACACCCATTCAGTATATGGGTATGTCATGTGACACACGATGAATGTGGAGGCCTCGAGCCCTGAGTGAGGTCGTGTTTAAGTAGCAATGAAGACAGAGAGGTATTGTCCCTGGTTTTAAGACTTCTTACTTCATGTATACATTATGAATATGAAAAATCCATCTTGCAATGATCATACACCTAACCTTTTACACTTTGAGGTCTCGGAGGAATAGGGGAAGCAATGTGTGTGGAGCATTCTGCTGCTATGGAATATTACTTTATGTAACGCTGCGCTGCATTTGCTTAATGCTGTATTTGTTTAATGACGTAAAGATGTGTTGTTTTGCCTGCCTAAAACACCTGATTGGTCTACTAAAAAGCTAAATGGCCAATAGCTGGGCAGAGTGGGTGGGGCTGGCAGGCAGAGAGAATAAGTAGGAGGAGAAATCTAGACTGGCCAGGGGCAAAGGAGAAAAGGAGGTAGATGTGAGGGGCCAGCCAGCCAGCCAGACACAGAATAGGACACACACAATGAAAGAAAGGTAAAATGTAGATAAAGAGAAACAGGTTAATTTAAGTTATAAGAGTCAGTGGGACAAGCATAGTGGGACAAGCATAAGATAAGGCTGAGCATTCATAACTAATAAGTCTCCGTGTCGTAATTTGGGGGCTGGTGGTCCAAGAAAGGCTGCGACATTCTACACAGGGCTGAACACAGTGTAATGCATACTTTTTTCACTGTTCATAAGAAATAACTCTATGTAGTGCCCTGCCATTTTGATAAACTCCACACAGGTGCTCAGGGGACGTGTTCACACCTAGACCTGCATTTCCCGGGGTGTGGCTCCAGGACCAGCAGCAGCAGTATTGTAATTTGTTAAGGATACAGATCCCGGGGCTCAACCCTAGACCTGTTGAATCCAAAGTTATGAGGATGGGATGAACCAGGCTCTTCAGGTGATTCTGAGCCAGACTTCTTGGCCTTGTCCAACAAGAAAGCAGCAATGAGAATAGAATCAAAAAAGTCCCTCAGCCATGCTTACATATCCCTGCAGTTCCGAAATCTTTGATCCAATAAGCACCCGTTAATGGCTCTTTTGTTGTTTCTTATTATTTATTTTCCTGGCACATTAATGTGTTAACAGCTCTCTTGAGTAAGACAACACCACACCGAGACTACAATACATTTACCATTTGTTGAAAATGACTCCAAATAGTTTACTCAACTTACATAATGCAGGTGACATCTATAGAGATTCCCTTCAGAAAAATCCAGTGAGATGCAGTCGCTCTGCTTCCATGAGTGGTCCATTGACTCCGTGACCATACACAGAGTCTGGGTTCTTATTGTTGCAATATTTATTGAATGAAGGCACTTCGCATCCAATACTTACAGAAATAAAGTCACGTTCATGTTTACAAGTGACCAACGGGGCTGAGAAGGGAAGAGAAAGCATGAAAGTTATTTGGCAGGAGAAGTTTGTGTCCCCCAGTAACCCTGTCTAGCAACTCTGTCAACAATGCTGAAAGAAGAAAACCAATAGATTGGAGGTGGTGAGGATGTCACGAAGCCAGAATATAAATGTGCATGAGAGAGGTAAATGACAATAACTCTCATCTTTGCAGCACGCTCTGGGTGGCACCTTCTTGCCGTGACAAAGTGACAAAACGATGCATACACACACCTCTCTGCCTTGCTTCTGCTTCCCACTCCTGATTATTTAACGGATGCATCTACAGTCCGTTAGGTCAAATAAGCAAAGCCACTCTGCGGCAAGACCTGGGACCCTCCGTCTGGAAACAGACTCAACATTCAGAGAACATTCCAGCCCTGCTTAGCTCTCAGGCTCACAAGAGGCAGACTTTCCCCTATACATACAAAACTCTCTTTCTATAGATTGTGGGGTTTACAAGCAAAGAGCTTGCAGAAGCTTATGTCTAAAAATAGGTTAAAATGATTTTTGTAATTTGCTCCTTCCCATTCAAAAAAAAAAAATACTTCAAGGTTTTCTTATCATCACATTTATCAGCCTGTGGTGGACCGACCTCCCCAAGCCTTCAGTGACCCTGGGCCTGTTGCTTCTTGGCACTGATGTTCAGAGCCCTTGGGCTTTGTGCCGTGAGGCGCTACCTGGCCCACCCAGGCCCTGTGTGTGTGTTCCAATGAGTAACTTCTTAAAAGCCCCACACAAATGCCCACTTTATGTTCTTGGGCCTCCTCTCACTGTAAAACGGGAACGCTAGCCCCGATTCCAAGGAAACCTGTGTTAGCACGCCCTCCCCTTCCTTGCCTAGAAACCAGAGCACCCTGTCTTCTGGGCATGCCCACTTCCTGCCATCTTAGGAAGTAGGCCCTTCAGTCTGGCATGACAACTCTAGTTTCTTTCCCAATGGCCATAAAGCCTTCATCTTGAAGTATTCAATAAATGTTTTTTCCAGAACATCCTTGTACACACCACCAATAAAAAGAAACAAACTGTTGTTAGTTTCTTCGAAGCTGTGTCTGTCAGCTGGGTAAGGAGACTCCACCTCAGCTGACACAGGCTAACTTATTGACATATGTTGAGCTAGCTCAAACTCCGTAACAACATGGCCCAATGTACCAAAGTTAAGGTGCTTCCTGTCCAAAGTGGGTAACTTGGACATTTTCTATTTTCACACGGCTCAGTGGTTGGGCCTGTATTTCCTGTTATTTTAACTGCTTCATATAGGTACAGGACAAACATACACTCACCCACCTCCCTCCCAGGAGCTTCTCAAGCCTGTAGCTTACATGGCGTTCACACCTCCATCACATTGCCACTTCCCTCTGTCAGGCCGGGCCAGCCTCTGGGTTAGACTGTGATTTTTGTCTCTCCATTCCCAGAGCCATAGAACAGTGTGCAGACTGTGCGAGCCATGAAGTTTGGTGGGTGGACATGGGGTGGACTGTTGGATGTGGCTGGGCGTTGCTATGCTGTGCATTGTCTTGCTGAGGTCAGGCCTAGTGAAGGTGACACAAGCTGCTAATGAAAGGGGGCTTTTTGTTGTGGAGAGACTGTGTTTGTCTTTAAGGTGCTGGCCGGTCACTCTGTCTTGATCATTAGAATGTACGTGTCTCACGAGGACGAGGGAGAACTTGGCAATTGTGGTGTTAGCCCGGCAGCCTCCAGGGACCAAGACAATTAATTATATGGGAGAAATCTTGGTCCTTCTGTCAGAAGGAGAAAGCCCAGGAACATGCTTCAGGATGTGACAGGAGTGAGTTTAGAACATTCTATCAGGCTTGCTGCTGCCGAAAACCAAAACCAAGGTCTTTTTTGTTCCTTTGCTTCAGTTCTGTAGATCCTGTGTGAGGACAGGAAGTGAACCCCTGCAGCCTTGTCAAACTGGTGCCCCATTGGAACATTTAAAAACGTACTTAAAGACATGAAGATAGCAGTGGGGGTTGTTGGAAGGAGAAAGGGAGTCTTTGGAGGGGGAGAGGGCAGTGAGGGCAGTGGATAGGTGTGATTAAGATGTAGCGTTCGTAAGAAAATGTCATGATGACATCTGTTGTCTGTTATTAATACATGCAGATGAAATAATTTTTAAAAGTGCTTTCAGAAAGGACTTGCTCCAAGACTTAGAAACGTGAGCTGCTCCCCTGCCCACCCGGCACCTTTCGGTCCTGGGCTGCATAACCACCACCTGAATCTTGCTTTGTCTTCCATCCACATCTCTGGAGACCAGCACGCTCATGATTCCAGTGATGTGCCTCTTAGAAATGTCACCTGGAGCTTACAGTGGTCCTCCTGCTTCAGCCTCCAGGGCACTGAGGTGACAGGCATGGGGCCACCACGCTCAGTTTCCTAACGAGTGATCTTGTTCAGATTGCTGCAGTAGCATCTTAGGATCCTTACCACGTCACCAAACATCTCTGCCCATTTTCCTGAAGTGTGTCTGAAGCCGTGTCACACTCCTGCTGGAGAGCCAAGCCACCTCCTCGTCACCCCTTTGTTCTCTGTGGTCACCCAGCCTTTTCTAAGCTATGTTTTGTTACAGTTCTGCTGTGGGTCTGCCCACTCTGCTAGCCTGCATTGTCCCATTGCTGGCCTGTGGCCCCTGTATCCGCTTTCAGCCAGGCTGCCTGCTGCGTGCCCCAGGCCTGCAGGGTGGTCCCCTAGCTTCCCCTCCATCTCCCCAGCACCCACTTTATAGGGTTCTGTGATGATCACAAGAAGAAGGACATAGAAAGCCCTCAGATGAGCTCCAGATCGCTGCTAGTGGCTGTCAATATGATAAGGCCTTTCAAGCCCACATTTTAAGCAGAGCTGTCTATATTTTCCTTTTAGATTTAAGTTCCTTAACCTTTTATAATTATTCTGCCTTAGAGTAGTGTGTGAGTTTATTTTGGACTCTACTGGACATCGCTAATCAAATAGATTAAGTTTTATTTATCATTGTAGCATGCTCTGAACTGTCTATTATAGTACCCGGAACACAGAGGAACTTAGTCAATACTAGTCAATATTTACTGAATTGAAATAACGCCTTTGCTGTTTTCAAACCATGTGCCACTGGGTGGGATAGATGGTTCCATGATTAAAAGTGCAGACTGCTTATGTAGAGGACCTCCCAGTTCTCAGCACAGTGCCAGCTCCAAGAGATCCGACACCCTCCAGCCTCAGAGGACACTGCGTTCGTGTACACATACACACCCGTGGACACACAAACATACTCAATTACAAATAGTAAAAACATGTCTTTAAAATTGTGTGTCACGAGTTGAGAAAAACCTGTATCACATAAATAGAATGAACGGAAGAGCTTGGCGACGTAGATGACACCGTGGAAGGGCAGGGAGCTTCCTGTGGCGGGAATCCTGACGCACATACCCCAGTAATGTTCCTCCTGCTGTGTTTCCTGTGGCAGGTCTGCGTGGTGGCCTACCTTGGACTGTTCATGCTTTGTGTCTCCTACCAGGTTGATGAGAGGACGTGCGTCCAGTTTTCTATGAAGGTGAGTTGTAATGCTAGTCTTTTTAGTTATTTTCCACGAGTTAGGCTGTTCCTAGAGCACATGAAGCTGGACTTTTAATGTCCCCAAAGGAGTATTGAGCAGCCACCAGTTCAAGGAAACACTTGGCCAGGGAAAGGTATCTTTCTGGGTGCCCACTTCCATATCTCGTGATCATTTGGAATATTTCAACAATAAAACAATCCGAGTGTATTTCCCCTTGTAGGTGGGAGCACCGAGACAGAAAGGGAACATTGGGTGAATCCAGTGGGCCCTGCCAATAGTCCGTGGGAAATGGCTAGGCCGTGCGGTGGCTTGGAAGTTGTATGTCTTTCTTTACCGTGAACTTTTTGTCTGTTGTGGACGGTGCATTTGGTGGCTGTCTGTCTAAGTGCACAGCACTTCACTGCACAAATATAACCTCCAGATTACACTTAACACTTAAACAGAGACAGAAACACATCCCTCAGAGGTGAGGAGGAGATAAAACTAGTGAACAGTCTGGCTGTTGGTTTTCACTCAGTGCCATAGCCAAGGATGGAGAGTATTCTCTATGTTTCTCTTATCCATTTGTAGTCGGCTTTTCTTCCAGGCATGTTCTTTGCTACAATCAGGAAACATGAAGCCCAAGATTAAGTCAACAGCATTATTTAAAAACCACAAAGATTAAAAAAAAAAAAAGGATGTGTTTAAAATGTGGAGCTGTAGCTCAGTGGGTACAGTGCTCGCCTAGTGTGGACAAAGCCTTAGATTTGACTCCCAGCACCTAACAAATGGAGCACAGTGTCGCCTGACTATAATCTCCCCTCTCATGGAGTAGAAACAGGAATCAGAAGTTCAAAAGTTCAAGGCCAGCCTCAGCCATATATTTAGTTGGAGACAAGCTAAGCCACATGGAATCCTGTGTCAAGAACAAGGAAAAGGAGGAGAGGAACAATGTCATGTTCAAAATGGTGGTTAAGAAAACAATGTGCATACAATTTGAAGGACAGTTGGGAGCCACTATGTGGCTGCTGGGAACCGAACCTGGTCCTCTGCGAGAACAGCAAGTGTTCTTCACCCTGGGCCATCTCTCCAGCCCTGAAATTCCTGAAATTGTTTTGATATGACCGGTTTTTGTTTGTTTGTTTTTTAGAAGAAGACTAGAGAATAGACACAGTTCAGGGTGAGATTGACCCAAATAACAAGGTATGGTAGTGAGAAGAGGGAAAGAAAACAATAGAAGAAAAGAAAAAAAAAAAACCTAGTAAGAAATCGCTTGCTAAGTTTCAGGAAATTCATCCAGCAGGTAGAAGCATTCTAACGTGGATTTTATCCAGTCAAGGAAAGCACACAACTTCCCCACTCCCTTTGGGATCCCTGAAGAAAGCAGGGGTGAAGCCTCCCTTTCAGCAAGTCCCCCCACCAGGCATCTGTACCTCAAAAAAAGGGGGAATGGGGAAAAAGAAGAAAGAAGAAAAGTGGCTGCCAGTGTCAGGTAGACTGCAGACTCCCCACTGGGAAGACCTTATTAGCTCTTTCCTTTCTTCACCATGACAGACACACAGACAGGAGGCCCTTCCTTCAGCCAGACTGCTGCCAGAAGCAGTCTGATGTAGGTGGAGGATTTTGTCCTACCTGGTCCCACAGCCGCAAATAAGCACACAAAGATTTACATTAATTTATATACTGTTTGGCCAATGGCTTAGGCTTCTTACTGACTACTTCTGTCTTAATTATTAACCCATAACTATTAATCTATGTGTTTTCACATGGTCTTGGCTTTTTGGAGAATGCCTGGACCTGTTACTCCTTTGGCGGCTACATGGCGTTTCTTCACGGCCTCTCTACCTCTCTCCCCAGCATTCTCCTTGCCTCCTAGGCCCGCCCATCTTCCTGCCTCTACTGGCCAAACAGTGTTTTATTCATCAGCCAAATAAGAGAAACATATATACAGAAGGACATCCCTTATCAATCTGAGAAGCCCTCTGTGTCATCTTCAGTCCTCAGCAGCCCCATCCAGGCCCAACAGGACACAGCTGGTGTCCCCTGTGTGTCCCAAAGCCTTTTGTGGGGAATGAACTGAACCTTTAGGAGGGGCTTGTCACTGCCCTTTAGCCCTCTAGCCCTGGACAAAGCTTTTTGGTTTATTTTCTTCTTGTACAAACACACACACACACACACACACACACACACACACACACACACACACACACATATATACACACACACAAACTCACACACACAAACATATACACTTATACTCTCACACACTCATACACACAAATACACACACACTCACACACAAAACACACTCAATAAATCTCTCTCTCTCTCTCTCTCTCTCTCTCTCTCTCTCTCTCTCTCCCCTCTCGATTCCCCCCTCTCTCTCCCTCTTAGACCTGGAAGCCACCAGCACTTCCCTGCTTTTCCCCAGGCCTCTGCCTCTGAACCTGGCAGGTCACCAATTGTGGACCCTCCTACCCGCCCTCTGGGTGCCCCTTTTCCTCAGTGCTCTCCTGCATTTGCCCAACTGGAAGGTCATGTACCTGCAGACAGTTGTGGTTCCTTGGGCTGCTTGGTGGCAGACCTGCCCCAGCGGCGGAGAAGCCTTACCATTCTGGCCAAGGGAGATCATTAAATCTAAACAGACACCTAGTCTCCTCAGAGCCACCAGCTGGGAAAACCTCAGCGGGCTCCAATTACAGCAGGGCAGGAGCAAGCCTGGGGATTACATAAGCACAGAGCCGGCCTCCAGGGATGTTCTGCAGGGACACCCACAATGGCTGCTGTCACATCCCAAGGTCAGGCCACACACACCTGCCTTCATTGATAGTTTATTCCTACCATGTGGGCAAAAACAGGTGCCTGGTTTTAAATTGTGGTTTTTAAGGAAGTGCATTGCAGGTGTCACCAGCAGGCCCGAGTGTGACCTAAGAGACCAGAAGCTTTCCTGACTCTGATGTGTGCCCGTGGCACTTTGCTTCTCTTCCCCTGTCCTTGAGCGTCTGGACTCTGCATATTTAAGAAGTTAGATGACAATGAAGCAACCTCTGCATTTGTGTCAGTGTTTACAACCTTCTACCAGCCAAGTCCGCATTGTCCCTCCCACACCACGCAACAGAAAACAGGACGGATAGCAGGGCTGGTCCTGGGAGATTCCAGGAAATGATAGCATCCCTTCTCTGCTGCTTTAGCTCTGGTGCCCTGCAGAGATGTCAGCTCTTGAGCCTCGTAGTGATGATATGAACTCAGGTTAGATAGATCATTCCAAACTTGCAGGTCAAGTGATACCAGTTAATAGGTCCAACAGATGAGCCCCAGGTAGCATTGGGAGTGAAGCCTTAATTAGGTGGCCTGGCCTGCTGGTTCACGTCCTTTGATGTTGTGTCCATGTTAAAAGGTCTTTGGCAAGTAAATATTTGAGATAAAACGTATCCTTTAAAATTTTTTAAAATTATATAAATTGACAGGTTTTGATAATCCCTCATGGAATGTTTCACCTTCCCACTGGAGTGTTTGGGGATGGGATGGGGGAGTTGTCGGGGTGTATGGAAGGATGGGAGGAAGAAGGAACTGTGATTGCTCTCTCTCTCTCTCTCTCTCTGTGTGTGTGTGTGTGTGTGTAGGTCAGGGTGCATCTTGCAGGACTTTGGCTCTCCCCTCCCACCATGTGGGTTCCAGGTATTGAACTCAGGTCATCAGACTTGGTGGTAAGGGCCTTTACCCACTAAGCCATCTTGCCAGTCCTGTTTTCTTTAAAACAGACAAACTTCTCATTGTCAACAGATGGACTTTCCCCATAGTGATGCAAATAGCTAATGTTTAAGGACATGCGTAAGCATCTGAGAGAGATTGTGAACGTGTGCACACCGGGGTGTGTGGTAAATAGAAAAGCAACCACAGGATCTATCTGCTGGTGGCCCAAAACAAAAATGGTGTGGCATAAATTCAATTTGGGGATGTTCTACTAAGTGGATAGCTACCCAGAGGGAAAAGACCATTTTAACTCTCGTTCCTCCTCCTAGCACTCACACATGGCCAGCATAAACTGGTTCTCATGCCAAGAATTTAAATTCAATCACCAAGTCCAAAGACTTCAGAATAATCCACAATATTTTCAATATTCTATGCCATTAGCCATACACAATAAATCCATATTTTAAAGTCTAAGCACTCCAAGTCTACGTAAAAAATTACACTGAATGTTCTGGGGATGGGACCAAAGCCCTCTTTTTAATATCACAGATTAAATAAATCCTTTCTAAATTTTATAATGATGCCACTTTGCATTTATCTGATCCTTTCCCTCCAAGGAACACTAAACATGTCAAATACAAATTATTTCTGTTATGTTTCCAAGAGACAAGATGTTTCAGCCAGGCATGGTGATACCTGCCTCATATCCCAGCACTTAAGAGGAGGAGGCAGGAGGATGAGGAGTCACAGACCAGAACTGTTCCCAGTAAGGGGTAGCTGTGTGGCAGCATACAACTGTTCCCAGTAAGGGGTAGCTTTTGTCTGTGTGGCAGCATAAATCCTGCCCTATAAACTCTAGACACCAGTCCCAAAGTCTGGTCTTTATCTGGGCCCCGCCCAGGTGGACCACTAAGAGAGTTGGGTCCAGTGTGTGAAACCAGTCACAAGAGCATCTCTTGTACTGTGCAGTGAATTTTACTGTGGCCGTGTGGGTGAGAACCCACGACTTTTGGTCACAGTGTTCCAGGATGTAAACAAACTAAATCAGAGATCTTTTGGAGAGTCCACAGTTCCTTCCCAGCAGTCAGAACTTAACCAGCACTCCCAATCCCAGAGCCAACAGTAGGCCAAGTCACCTGCCTTCTGTAGCCATCATCCACTTTTCCACCCAGAGGTCCCCTCCTGCAAAGGGGTCTTGACCATCATGGCTGTCCTGTGATAGCTCCCACATCAAGTGCAGTCTGTTTTCCATGAACTTTTATTGATAGTTAATCAGTTTGTAATAATTTTGACCAACTCTGTGTTCATGTTCATAGAAGCCTGTCTGTCCTTTCCTTTCAAATCTCGTTTCTATCCCATGACCATGGCATTTCTCAATTTAAAAAATAAATGCTGTGTATCATCTGGGAGAGAGGGCTTGTTTGGGATTCATTTACATTACCTGCTAAATCTAGACATAAACATTCCAGTCAGGCTAACAACAGGTCATTGCAGGTCATGGGAAGAGCCAACGGCTGCATGGCAAATGGCTTAAGGGTGGTTTCCCAGTAAATAACTCTAGAGCTGGCGCTCGGGCACTCACACTTGAGCACTGGAGGCAGGAGGGTTGGGAAAGCAAGGCCGTCTTCAGCAGCTATGGAGCAAGTTCGGGGTCAGCCTGGAGTAGGTGAGACCCTGTTGCAAAAATCAGCCAGTCATCTAACTAATGAACATGTATATACCCATGTCTTGGCATTGTGTTTTGAGAAGAGAGTGGCCCTTGCCTCAGAGAGCCAGTGAAGCAGTGTTGGAGAGTCTGCTGCTCTCTCTAACAGAAAGCTTTTCTTCTCTCTTGCAGGTGCTCTACTTCCTCCTGAGTGCCCTGGGCCTGACGGTCTGCATGCTGGCGGTGGCATTTGCTGCACACCACTATTCCCTGCTCGAGCAGTTTACCTGTGAGACCTCCCTGGATGCTTGCCTGTGCAAACTGCCCTCCTCAGAGCCCCTCAGCAGGACCTTTGTCTACAGGGATGTGGCTGACTGTACCAGCGTCACCGACACTTTCAAATTGTTCCTAATCGTGCAGATGGTTCTGAACCCGGTCTGTGGTCTTGTGTGCTTGCTGGCTTGCTTTGTGATGTGGAAACACAGGTACCAGGTCTTTTATGTGGGTGTCGGGCTACGCTCCCTGATGGCTTCTGATGCCCAACAACAAAAGGCCTAACAGCTTGGCTTGGGGGTAGAGGCAGAAACAGAACCCCCAGGAGCCAAGGTGGAAACCACAATTTTTTAAAGGCAAACTTTTGATAACAAATGCTTATTCATTCTCTGAGTATTTTTAGATTTTTTTCAGAAAACAAAATAACTTTTTTTTAGATCTCTTATTGTACATTAAAAAAAAAAATTCTTGTGAGGACGGGGTGGAGAGATGGCACACAAGTTCTCTTGCAGAGGAACCTCGTTCAAGTTATTTCAGAACCCAAGTTGGGTACATCATAGCTACCTGTATTTCCAGTTCCAGGGGCATTGGGTGTCCCACACATACACACACATACATAATTTTTTTAAAAAAATAAGACTTATTTTTTAAGTTTTTTTAAAATGAGAATCAAGATTCAAATTGGTTTGATAAACACTAAAAGGAAAAGGAATAACGAACAAGGAATGAATGACCTCAGTCTCTTGCTACATGCCGGTGCTTCCTGCTAACACCCTTTTATCCATGACTTACCTCCTTTCCTGTCGCTCCAGTGTGATGGTGTGGACTGGTATCTAAGGCTGCGTCCTAGACGCTAGACCCTTCTAGTTCCTTCTACCAACTGTCATTATCTACGTGATGTCTCAAAGAAGGGTGGAGGTCTGGGGAAAGATGAATCTCTGTACTGAATGCTTTTATTTTTCACAGTAGAGATGTCTTTAAGGAATGAAATAGCTTTTTTTTCCTTTTTTCTGTTTTTTTAAAAACGCCTAGTAGAACAGGAAGGCTGAGAAATTAATTATAAACACCTGGGCTGGGGTGCAGCCTTCTAGCTGCCTTAACTCTGCTCCTGAGTGGGCTGCAACCTCCCTCCGTGACTGTCCACTTCCCATAATTGAAAGGTGGTGCCATTGCATTCTTAGCGATGTAGAAAGCTTGAAAATAATTATATTATGCTTCTAGTCCAGCATCTAAAACAAATCATTAAGACTAATTTCCAGCTAATTGTTCATTACAATTATGCTCAGAAGTCTGTTTAATGAGCTCTGGCTGTACTTAGGCAGCACTGTTGGTGTTAAGAAAAATTATAGCCACCAGGGAAGATGTCTGAAGATCCACTTTCCTGGAAGCCAACCACTGCAAAAAAGAACTTGTAGAACACTAATACTCAGGTTTAAAACTCTCTTGGAGGAAAAAACAAACAAACAAACACAAGAAACAAGAGCTTCCATCAGAGGAAACACCTGCACTATGAACACACTAGTGTGATATGTTGAAAAGCATCTCCCTTGACAACCAAGAACCTTTGGTGGTGACTTGGTACCCTGGTGAGTTCTGTCATGAACTTGGACTTTCTATAAATCCCATTAATGATGACTTTTATGGCCTACCTAGAGACAAATATCTCAATGTCATTATTTGGGGGATATGTCTACGGTTAGAGGGCTGATTTAGTTTTGTTATTGGTTTAGACTTAAGACAGGTACCTCTTTAGGATGGCCTCTGCTGTGTTACTGTTATTAGCGAACTCAGAAGAACATTTGGGCATCAAACAAAGTGTTCACCTGAGAAATCCACACCATGAAAACACTACTACAAATGTCTCTCTTAATTTGTGTTTTTAAAAGCAGAAGTTCCAGGTCACAGTTGAGCCAAGTTTGCTCTCCACCCTGCCTGTCCAGTTACTCTCCTGGTCACAACATTTGCCTTAAGGGGACATGTATTCTCCTTTGCCTTTGAGAGTCAGTGGAGAGTTCCATGATGGGGACAATGGAGTCAGTTCTGTGTGACACACACATCCCAATTGCAGGAATGTGTTAGGCTAGCCACCTGGAAGACTGCCATTGTGGTTTCCTCCAGGCAAAGCTCCTTATGTTCTGACTTTAAGCCTGCCTCTCTTGCCTGCTATCTCAGGTCAGGAATGCTCCTCAGAGAGAATAGTGGGTAAAATTCCACCAGAGGTCTGATCTCAACTTTTCGTGAGCACAGCAATAGGCCTCTAGATACTGACCTGAAAAACCTTCCATACTTGTTAAGAATAATCACCTCTAGGCTGGGGAGATAGCTCAGTGAGCAAAGTGAGCCCCAGTAAGAACTTGATTCTTAGAACCCAGAAAAAAAGGCAAGGCATGGTGACATGTGCTTACAATCCTGGCACTAAGGAAGCAGAGACAGGCAGGTGCCTGGGACTCCTGGATCAGACAGCTTTAATTTAATGATCAAATTCTGGGTCCCTGGTAAGAGAGTTTGTCTCAAGAAATGGAAACAAAATATAAACCAAAGTGGGCAGCTGACCTCTGGCCTACACACACACACACACACACACACAGTTGCACCTGCACACATATAAAGAATAACCAAATTCACATCGACTTGTGGTAGTTTTCTATAGAAATAGTAAAATGGTTGGGAATCTGTGATGTAACAAGCTGTCCTTTCAAAGTGAGGCTGCTTTCATGCCTGTTGCTGTGCATTGCGTACTGTTAGAGACACACAGAACACTTTCGCAGCTTTGACCAGCAAAGTCAACAGGTTTTTTTTTTTTCCTTTTTATGAGAAAATTAATATCCCTACACATTTAGGTTGCTCTATGCTTTACAAACGACTCACAGAGTATTTTAAAGGGTAAAATAATTTTAGCCTGCAGGTTTCTTGTTTTCTAACACAATCAAGAGTAGGTACTGTTTAAGCTTATAATATTTTGTCTGCATAGAATGGGAATTTTACTATTATATGATCGAATTCTTCTTAACTCCCCAAAAGAAGGGGGAAGGTTGTAAGTTCATAGAAGGAGCAAAGCCAAATGTAAGGATCCCTTTGCTAAAACTCTCTGTATAGTGGCGTGTGTAAGAATTGTATTGCATGAATAACAAATGGCTTTGGGTTGGATTTGAAGTATTTTGACATTATGTTTTGCAAATATTGAAGCTGCAGTAAGGCAACAGAGAAGGAGCCGGCACACAGCTTCTCACTTAGCAAAATGTTACACTTCCAATCTGTCGAGGAGCCAGGGTGGTGACTGTGCCTTCCAAACCCTAAAACAGCAAGGTTTGCACAGCTCCCCTCCCCAAAGCCTACTTCAGGAGAATTAAATGAATCAAGATTTTGCAAAGATGAGAAATGGCCAGAACTTGGCAGTACTTGGAATAGGAATACAACAGCCCGAATGTACAGACTGTAACCGAGCCCACTCAACGGGTCTGTGCCTTCGCGTGATCATCATCTGTGGCTCCCAAGCTCTGTCCAAAGTGGTGTAGGCAGCACCTTGGAGCCATGCCTAAACCATAGCTACTCCCAAGCCCTAGAAACTGTAGTCAAGTAGCAGGCCTCGTGTGTCTCCTTCCTTAGATTGAGGGCTTAAATGTTCCCTTCTGAGCGCCTTGCAGTGTGTTCCCACAGTGAAGGTCCAGCCCGTGTGTGCTTTCTCTCCACGTTCAACACGATCTCCTGATGCTCTTTTGCTTACTTCTATGTGCAGTATGTGATACGCTTGTGAGACTCTAGTAGAGACTGGATAAAATCTGTCTGGGGTGTTAGGGGGCAACTGTGAAACAGTTACTAAACGGCCATCAGAAATGAACGTGAAAGCTGTCTGTCACTTACAAACATGAACTGTGTCCTATTTCCTGGCGACCATCTCTGAATTCTTGCTGCCTGGTCACATTTGTATAAATATGCCACTAGATTTTTCTCTAGTTTAAAAGCCCACAATGTGCTTTAGCAGAGCAGTGTAAGTTCTGTCTGTCTGGTGGCCAAATCCTTAGTGGTCAAACCACTGAAATGAGTTCACGTCTTTTATTTTCTTATCTTGAAGGAGCACTGTCCCTTCAGAGCTGCTGGTCTGGGTCTTGGTGCTGCCGGTTTCCTTGCCTGGCCTTGATCAAATCAAAAGATGAAGCGTTTCTATACATTTGAGGTGGTTGTTTTTAAAGGGGGGGGGGTTCGTGTGTTTCCTTTATTAATAAACTTTGCATAATCCACAAGGCATGGTGTTGAGTATGTTTTAAAGTGACCGTGCGGTTTGTGTGAATTGGTATATGTAAAACTGTAGAGCATTGTGTTAGGTGAAATGAGCCAGGTTCAGAAAGACTAGTACTGCCTGTTTGCTCGTGTGTGTGTGTGTGTGTGTGTGAGGTGGTGTGTGTGCGCGTGTGTGTGTGTGTGTGTGTGTGTGTGTGTGTGTGTGTGTGTGTGTGTGTGTGATTAAACTTCAAAGGGTACCATAATGGAGAAAGAAGAGATCTTAATGCTGTGGGGGAAGGGAGGGCGTTGGCATGCAGTGACTTGAAAGGGAAGAGAGGCTATGGGTAAGGACAGAGGACCAGGAAATTGAAGGCAGGGACAGGGGAGTGACAGTGGTGGGATTGGTATGAATAAGAACAAAATGAGTATTTTTAAAAGGTCATAATGAAACATAATACTTTCTATGCTACCTTTAAAAACATAATTTAGAAAAGAATTAAAAGAATAAAACAAAACAAAACAAAAACCCTGTGTTGGGAATAGACAAGAACCAGCTTGACAGTGATGCTGGTTTAGTCCCAGGCAATCTGCATTTTACACTTTGCATGAGGCTAGAGGTCAAGGCTGTAATTGGTCCCCAGGGAGAATACAGGCTGGAGGGAATCTTTCCAGAGGTGCCTGGAATGCAGATTCCTAAGGTCTGTCAATCAATGTCAAATAAAGCTGACTGGGCCTAAAAACAGGATACTTGCTCCTCATATTCCAGTTATAAATATGTGCACATATGGTGGCCTTCTCCACTCAGATCTGGATCAAGGACATCCTCTTACCAACTCTGAGGCAGTGGACATACTGTGTCTGTCATTCTGTGAGTGCTGTCTCTTTCTGTTTACTGAGGGAAGCTTCTACAATGCGAAGAGCAAGAGAGGTCAGTACCTGTGCACCCCTTGAGCCAAATTTCATTCCTCAGTGTCAAGGCCCCAGGGTCAGAAGTCTGACCCCCTAGACAGGCCATTTGGTTTTAGTTTCTGCATATGTAATACAGAAAAATGGAACTGCCTCCCTCACAGCCTCCTGGGGGAAGCAAAATGAAGCCGCACTTACCCAGGAAAACTTCAGAACATGTGAGTATTTTCATGGACGCAGGCCTGTTTCCCACATCTAGCTAAAGGAGTAACTTGGATGTAAGCCAGTCATTGTGAAATATAACATATATTACCCTGCATTTTTAAAAATTCAAAGTGTAAGCGAAAGTCAGACTGTTCTGAGACAACAAAATGCTCATTCTGTCTTTGCAGCAAATATTTATACTTGTGTAGTGGTCCCCTGAGAAGCCTGGGAATTTAAAGGCAGTTGTTTCTGTTGGGGTGGAGCAGTAGAATAATTCTTAGCCCAAGGGACTGTGACATACAATCACAGAACTGTTGGGGAAAGCAGAGGTTTTTATCAGCATTCCTAATGCTAAGATTATGGGGATCCCAAGTTTTGGTGGGACCATCCTCTGTGACTGCAGCGGGAGAGCAAGCCTGGTGCCTTGTCTGTGCCATGCCGCTTGGTTCTCAGTACCCAAGTAGGGGACTGAAGAGTAAGGGGTGAGAGACCCAGTGTAGCCCTGGCCCTGAAACATGGAGCTGCTGCCCTCCAGGTGAGATGCTTCATTTACTCTGTTGAAGTTCCTTCCAGGCCTTGTGTTGTCTCTGCCAGATCATGTGTGGTTCCAGATGAGAGCTGACTCAAGGACTGAGTACATGACCAGAGATGACTGTAATCTTGTGAGATCCAGCAAGGTGTTTCCTCCATCTTCCTATATACGAGTCTATTAGACCACTGGTAGCCCAGGTGGGCCCTGAGGTTAGTGAGGCATGTGGGGTGAACAGTCAAACTGATTGGAAAGTGTGTGACCGAGTTATTTTAGGTTCTTCCATTCAGAGCAGAGTCCATGCACTCTCACTAAAGAGGGCCACGTCTTCTGAGACAGCTTCCCCTCTGGTAGCTTTCATCTTTCAGTAATGTTTGGTTTTGATTGTAGCAAATGACATAAAGATGTTAAAAATTCTCTAAGGGGAGAGGGCTTCCTTCATTTTAATACAGGGAAGCTTAGGATTTCAAACACTGAGTTTGACCAGAGTGGGAAGAGAGTGATGTTGAGCATATTTGGATGAGGAAACTGTATTGGAACCTGGGCTCTGTTTGTCGTGGCTTGGGTTAGAGAAGAGCAATGACCCAGAACAAACCTTCCACCTACCACGCAGTTTCGAAGTTGCTCCAGATAACTCTGGGGAAAGTGGCCAAGGTGGTTATCTCCACTTGTGCACTTTCTCTGTGGACTCTCTGTGGTCTTCCGATGATCACACAAACAGCGTACAGGCACACACACCCATACACACATGCACACTCCACAGCAAACCAGCCTCTCCTTCCTCCAAGACTCTGTTAAGGTATTGTGAACTCAAATGTTGGCGGCTGATATAGAGATCCCCATAAATGTAAGCCACCCAGTATTAGGTTCTTTCTACAGGCCGGCAGAGTTTTCTGATCTAGGGAAAGGAACCAGGATGCCAAGAGCAGAGACCTGGCCAGCTGCTTCAAACACAGCCGTGTAGGTAGCCACCTACTCTGTCTGACCAAGATTGTGACAGGGCTCCAGAGCTGGTGGGACACGGAGACTATGTCCCATTAGCCTTGGCTGTGCTGCCAGCCTGCAGCTAAAGTAGCTGCTGGTCATAACTGAGTGATACTTTGCTCAAATCTATTGAAAGGAGATTCCAGAAAGCGAAAGGGAAGGGACTTTTCCTCACACAGGTCCAGAGGGCTTTTACTGTGAAGGGAGAATGAACAGAAGAGGAGAATTCATGCAGGAGCTCTTGGCCCCTGGTCTGGCTCCCTGGGCACTGCAGACAGCACACCAAGGTTGACTGACTTTCCTCAGACCCCGAGGCTTCTCGTCATCTTCCACAGAACACCCTCAGACACTGGCCTGGAACCACGCCAGCCCAGAGGAGGGAATACTAGCCAAAAAGAAGGAAAAACTCCCAAATTGTAACTTAACAGAGTGATCTTTTTTTTCCCCCCCCTTTAATTCCCAAAATGTGTTTTCCCCAGTCCCTGAGCACAGACCTGTGGTTTTGTCTCCCTGGCTTTACAGCCTCTGCCTGGAGCCAAGAGACTTGGCTGTGCTTTCCCCTGAGTCAGAGTCTCGGCTGGTAGCTGAACCCAGGAAGCCCTGGCCCCCCCATCTCTCCCTGGAACCACCAGCCCACACCACCGCCGCCTCCTGTGCTCAGCCCTTTGGCTGGGTGTCCTGCCTGTTCTCTGTTTGGAAAGCGCCGTCTTATGTAACTCCAGAACCTACTAAATGCTTCATTGTCTTCTACTCGGGGGCACTCAGAGCAACCTATTACTGACTTATGACTTATCATCAAGATAGAATCTCTTGCCAGTGTCTCCTCAGCGCCTTGGAACTGGCCTCACCTGCCTTACGGCAATCAACAGCCAGGCTTAATGCTTGTGGTCTTTGGGGAATTACAGGTTCAGTGCAAGGTGCAGGGAATACAAAGTCAGGGTTCATCCGTAGGTCAGGGTGGCTCGTTCAGTTCAGGACGCACAGCAAAGCCATTTGCAACTCAAGGCTGAGGCAGGCATAAACAATTCTGATCTGATTATTCCTTTACTAATCTGATTTTGATAAACAGCTGATGAAAACGGGAGGCGTCTTGGCCCTTGAAGGAGAGATACCCAGGCAGTATAATCAGTTTCTCTTATCTCACCAGGAGGGGATTGATTTCAAGACTCCTATTAATAGCGCAGGACGGCAGGGACTGTGACCTCTGCCCCGGATCTTCAGAGCCTTGAGAGCAAAGTGACAGCAGCCTATTGGGTAAGGTCCCTTTGTCCATCTTTATTTTCTATGAATCTCTGATTAGCCCTGTTGGGAATTCTAGTAATTACTGTAAGCTGGCACCTCCAGAAGAAAAAAAAATAGACCTCTTAGGATTCAATTAAAAATTAAAGGGACCTTTGTGTGTGGTTACCAAGGAGCTTTCCCAGAACAGATGGGGTGTGGACCTGCACAAGTCAAACGCTGCTCATAGGTGACATTTCCATGTGGTTCTGCTGCCTCAGCATCCCTAGGGAGAGTTGCTCATGAGTGAAGGGGTCCAGGCTGTTGTTCTCTCCTCCCCACAGACCTGTGACCTTCCAAAGAACAAATATGCCTCAGATTGCCATATTTCTTTACTGAGCTTCAAAACTGGGACCTAGGGGGCTGGAGAGGTGGCTCAGCAGTTAAGGGCACCGGCTGCTTTCCTAGAGGTCCCTAGATGGGTTAGCAGACACACCTGGTATATACTCAGACAGACACAACCCTAAATAAATAAATAAATAAATAAATAAATAAACTTTAAAATGGGGAGCAAAGAGAATCTTCCCATTTGGATGATAAAACAGCCATTCTCTCAAGGATTGTTGAAGATCTCAGTCTTTAGGCCAAAGCTACTCATAATCTTACAGGGAAAGATTTTAGCACATCCAATTAGAAACCCCCACTCTATAAAATACTGGGGAAATCTGCTGCTTCCCGTTTCTTCTTTCCTAGTGACAAGTTGAAGTTCACTTAACAGGAGGTGGTTGAGTTGCCTGATTTTTATCTGAATACAACTTGCATTCCCAAATGGACAAGTCAGAGCTCTCCAGGGCTTGCGGAAGTGCCCTTGAGATCTGCTCCCCATTCACTGCCACCTGGCCATGAGAGGGCATCAGCAGACATTGGTGGGAAGTCCCTGACCGAAGGGGTCTAACATGGGAAAAACCATCACTGGGACATGGGGAATGTCTATGTCTGAAGAAGAAGAAGAAGAAGAAGAAGACAGTCCTTCAAAGACCCCTCACATAGGGGGTAGCTTTCATAGGGGCTTCATTCACACACTACCCAAGAGCTAAAAACATCTCCTGCTGAAAGTCAAGGGAATTAGCAGAGACTTCAGATGACCCCACTATCCTTTCTTTTTAAATTTATTTTTAT